AAGAATTCGGTTCTACTTTTGTTGCCCATGTCAATCCTCACCTAATGCATGAACTTTCTCAGCCATATTAAAAACCATATCTTCAAGTTGACTAATGTTTCCAGTTTTCAAAATGTGATTGACTCGATCGTATTTATAGTTAAATGTTTTGTTAAAAGCTTTATATTTGGTTTTCATCGAGTCCAGAAGTTTCCATGGCGGACTGAGTCCGTCTTTGAATCGATCGGTGAAATTATCTAAGGCTTTGTAGAGGCGATCGATATCATTGAAAAGCAATTGTGTACATTCATCACAAGCTGCAAAAATTAAAGTAAGAATGTTGATTTAGGGGGCCAAAGAAAGCAAATACGTACGTGTGCAAATTCCATCTTTGATATATTGCCGGGAGTTTTTGCACTGATTACATTTTTCTCCATAGAATCCAGATTTACATTCACATATTCCATTTTCAGTGCAAATACTCGAATGGCTACCATAATAGTTACAATTACACGGAATGCATTTATTCGAAAATGGATCCCGAAAGTAGCTGTCTTTACAATGCTCACACTTGCTTCCAGTGTAACCTAAACACAGAAGATGAAAGTGATAAATACAAACAAAAATAACAAACAACCTGCAAATTTTCATATTCTTAAGAGTAAAACGTTTTTTTTATTGTTAAATGTCAATAACTTAATAAACTTGGCTTTATGTGTATTTTGAGAACATTGCGAATATGAAAAAGCGTGGAATAATTTTAATGCTAAAATTATGTGATTTATAGGTTCTCATCAATATTTTACTACTACAGACTAGCCTTTATCATTAAAATTAAAACAACTTTTTTCGTGTTCTGTCTATCATCAAATGCCTGTTTAGTTACAAGTTATGATCCGTGAAATGCTAATATTTCATTATCTGATTGAAATATTTTTTAAAGTTTCCTTATACATCATTTCAACGCTTTTTTATTGCATCATCAATCGCGCTGTTACTTCTAAGTGAAACGTAAGCTGAAGGGGTCAAAAGCTAGTTTTTTCGTCTTATTAGTGCAGAAAAGAAGTACGTGAGACGCTTAGGATTTTGTCACAACTTTCAGAATCTTGTCTGTGCCATTATAACAATGAATTATATAATAATTAGACAAAAATTTTGAAAATAAGATAATTCAAAATAAAGTCTCAATCACCGATTTTATTTGAAATATCAATCACACTAAAATTCACGTCTATTATGACTTTATCCTAATTGCGTGCATTTTAGAATAAACATTTTCCACGGAAATATCTTTGAATAATAATTTAAATTTTAAAATGTTTGATAATTTATTTTTCGCTAAAAAAAAACTTTACAACCCTTTAGATATCGATATCTGCCTGACCCGTGATGGAACTGTATTAATACATTTAAATAAATATTAATTTCTTTTATTGACATATTTATATTTTTGCTGATTTTATATATTAAATTTAATTGAAGTTTCTTTTCCGTGTTATACTTTAAACGACACTTGCAAACTGTTTCTAAATGTCATTGCAAGCATGAGAAATAAGCACGAACAGAAATTTAAATTAAATTAGACCAATAATAAACAAAAAAATCATACAAAACATTATCAGATGCAGTGGTCGATTAGCCCATTAAAAAAATTGCAAAAAATATCATGTTCTGTTTAAAAATGTATTTACACTTATATCTTTTGTGTTTGCATTTTGCTTACTTAAAAAATTGTCAAAAATAAGGCTGTGGGGAAATAACATTAAAAATACAAAATACTCAACATATTTGCATGTCTACAATGCAACATATTCTTACATCTGAATACATACAAGCAGAAAAAAGTAAATCTCATTAATCAGTAATAATTGGCAAATGTTCTAAATTTCCATTTTTCGCTTACCTATTTTACAGTGGCAGGCAAAACCATATTTTTTTGCCATGCAGCTCTCTGCGTTGTTTTCGAACTCTGATGGACATAAACAGGGTTGGCAGTGTCCAGAATAGTCTTGATAGTAACCGGTGTCGCACAATTCGCAATGAAAGCCAGCTGTATTGTTTGAGCAATTCTGTAATATAGGTAATTAAATCAGAAATTCTGCAGTCTGAAATTGCTTTAGTCCTACCTTGCAGTGTCCATTGTCAGGGTCACATTCAGATGATCTTCCATTGCAGTCACATGGACGAGCAACACCGATTACTTTATCTATCCAGGAAGAGTGTGTTGCTTCGTATTCGGTTAGGAAATGTCGATAAAATCCCCGATTTGGGTCTTGGCACGAAAGTCCTTTGTACTCTGAACTACAGTTACATTTTTCGATGGAGTGACTAGTCCGATTATACGGAATGTAAGGTTTAGCTGAATCCAGTAGAACTTCTACAATTCTACAATAATAATACGATTAGGATTTCCGAAAACTGTATGTAGGTGCAACATATTTTGATTTTTACTCTCTCAAAATCTGTTCTAGATAATTATTTGTAAAGCATTTGAGCAGATAGATGTGTAGATGGTGATATCGACGAGTTATTCGCTGTAAGCTGGGACATAAAAAAAAATACTTAAAAAACTACGTTTGTTACAATATGATTGACCATTTTTCTAACGCTTTTATGCATGCTAGAGAGTGTTGCATTACTGCATTACGTTTTTTTTAGTTTTTATAAGCTTCTATATTCTACATACTTTCATTAATTCAAAAACTTAAACGAATAATTAATTTATGTAAAAAATAATTACTTACTCCATATCTTGGCCTTGTATGACAATAGAGGTAACCTTCTGTAGAACTACCAACATACACTCCCTACTCAGTGAAATCTGACAACTTTGAGCTATGTTGCCAGAAGTTACTGTCCAATACTTTTCGTTAAGTTTCAACTCATTAGTGCTAACTTCTGAGTTCAAAGAAATTCCATTTCCAGTCAGGAATACAGTGAATCTACCGCCCCCACCACTGACACTAAGATATCCGTCATACGAGGATGATAGGTCGCCCATAAATTTCTTTGGCAGGCTAATGGTGTCGGTGCTGATCTATAAATAAGTGTACTTACGGAGATGATAACAAGCTTCAAATAAGGAAAATATTATTCATAACTCACCGGTTCGTTACTCTCTATACGTTTCTCAAAGCGAATTTTATCCCAGTTGTATTTGGTGTCCACACATTCACTGCTTCTTTTAAAACAGAAGCAGTTTTTGCATCCTTGGGGATTTTCTTTAGATAAACCAAATGTTCCGTTTTTGCACGTATTACATTTAAATCCTGTGACGCTCTCCTGAATAGCATTCGTCTTTCTGACTTGGAATTATATGGTTTGCAATACTTTACCTTACAGTTACAGCTGCCATCTTCATTGCACTGACAATCTTCAGTTCTACACTCGGTATCTAAGGTACCAGCTGGATTGCAAAGGCATTTCCTGCAGTTCGGAAATCCATAATAACCGAAGGTACATCTGTCACATTTATTACCTTCATATCCCACTTTACATGGACAGATACCAAAATGTTTGTCACACTGCAGGCCAGACGAACCACTATTTGAACAGTTACATGCCTGGAAACATTTAATTTGATTGAATACCTTTGAACTGATAACACTGATAACTCTGATATTTAGGGCATTCCTGACTAGAAACAATCCCCTTGAAAACTCTATTCCTGAAAGCAAGATGTGATAATGCGAGTGGAACGAATTTCAGACATTCGTTTGATCTACTAAAACATTAAGCCTTTTCGTTGTCGCGCAAGGACATAAAAACCGAAGTTATTTTCCATGATCTGAATCTCAAAAACAAACCCTTTTGTTAACTTCATATCAGAAACACCCCCTATACAATATGCGTAAGTATGTATTTACATCATATTTTATTATTACCTTACACCCTGTTCTTGGTTCATGCCCCCAAGAATTCAATGTGCATCTCTCACATTCCCTTCCAATAGTTAACGAAGGGCATACACATTTTCCCCCTTGGCCGCATACGTGACCTTTTTTGGTGCATGGTTCGCATTCTGAAGCAAAACACAAATGATAGAAAGAAATCAGTTTAAGTCAGAAGTCGGACAACATTTGAAAAATTTCCAGAACACGAATTTCAAGTGAATCTACTTTTTATCGTAAAATGAACTTATTAACATAAAATTAAATATCACTGGGTATCACGATTTTCTAAATTTCCAAATTTGACTTTCTAATCTGACTATTGTGTGAACACAAAAAATTTTGAGGTGATTATAAACTCCTTTCGAATAAAGACGTAGACAGGAGTTTTTCACAGCAACTAAAAGCAAATTGAGGAGTCAAAGCAACAAAAGTGCACAACAAGAGAACTTTTATGCAGATATAAAACCAAAAAAACACATCTGAGGATAAAACACAATTTTATAGGACGGGTTTGTGACAAATTGGCGAAAGCCCGCTTGAGTATATGTCTATGTTCAATCGTTTTTAAGTACGTAAATGTGTCAATAATCCAAGTGAATTTTTTTATATTAATTTTTGCTATATAAACAATTAATGCATGTAAACTGAAAAATATGTGTTCAGTAGTTTAGTTAACAGAGACAATTAACAATTTATTATAAATTTATTAAAATAAGTGAGATATATATGAACGTCCAATATCATTACAATTTGTAGACTTCACATTCTACACACTTTGCCCCCCTTAATGTATGCTTTTCCAGAATTTTTATTTCGAAACAAGATGCAATTTTAGTTCCATGTGACGGGTCTTTGTTTATTTAAGTTTTTAATTGCGATGCCGGTGGTGATTAAATGAATATTTTCCAACTCATTGCATTGATCGTCCAGTTAAAGCAGTTATTATTTAATTTTACAGTCATTTAATTTAAGTTAACAAATTTTGACAGGCGTTGAATAATAATACAAAAAATATATCAGGTCGAGTTTCAGTTTCAGTCCACATTATTTCATAATCTCATTCACCATGCATAGAGACTTTCATGATCGCAATATATGCAAGAGTAAAAGTGAATTAGTGATAGCAAATAAACTTTGCCCATTGAAATTCTGTTATTAATCTGTTGTGGAAAATTTCTTATATGCACCATTCGGGTCTAATATGATCTTAAACATTGAAAAAAATTGTAAAATGTGTAACAGATAAGAGAGTCAAATATATTGAGGAATATTTCGAGCGATCCATCCAAAAAATGAGTCGATTCCATCTACCAAATAAAAAGTTCTGGTAGTTTTTGTATCACTACAGTCAAGAATTCCCCACTTGTCCAAAACGGATGAAATCGATTGTTTCATCAAAATATGAGTCTTACATAAGATACATTTTTTGAAGAACTTTGACCATCAACAGCAAAGGAGCTAGACATTTTTTGTTAATAAAGGTCAGATCGTCTTCTTTTAATGCAAAGAATATCGAAGTATCCTTTTGTTCATGTGCTCTTGAACACTGTATACTTTTCGGTTATTATTTGCACTATTATCCAGTCTTCATTGTTATTAGTACTAAAAGAATAGTGCAAGTTTTGATTACATTTTGCATGGTCCTTCTGCAGTTGACATAGTTGTAAATTATAAAAAATGTGAATTGACTTTCTGATAATTGTAGTTTACAGCCTAGAATTTTAACGTGAAAATCGAATTTTTCTCGATTGGTGGGGTTGATAGATAAAATTACCACCCATCGTCCCTAATTTACAAAATTCTAGAGAATATACAAGATTTTCATATATTTTTTTGTTGAGTGATTATCACCAAATTGTAAAAATTATCAATACAGACCACAATATATGAAAACTTTCAACAATACGTTAATATCCAAAGTTTAATACGAAAAGTTTTCATTGCATTATTACCTTTTCCATATACATATTACTAGAAAGAAACACTTAGCTTAAGTTGAGTGACTATATTTGTAAATGCGTCTCTCCAAAATCCAAAAAGTGAATGTGAGTTGTGACAGAACATATTTTGTGATCAGTTTCCCAAAATAATATAATAGTTTTTGTATTTTATCTAATTTTTTAGTTTTTGTCAGTACCTATGCGCTTGTAATGCTAGTTGATGTTGCCGTAAATTTATTATTATTTTATTTATTATATATAAGTTTCGTTTTCAAGCCTTGGAACACGCTAGCGTCTAAAAGCATCGTTTCATAGCTGTGGCGATAATGGCTTAAATATAGGCAAAACGTTAACCCTAGCAAAGCACTGTTCCCGTTTGTACTATCTTTGAAGTCTATGTTGTTAGATGATAGATAAGACCTAATTTGAAAAAAGCAAGATTGTATGCAAGCTCTTTCGCTAGAATATCCTATTGGTTGTTTTCATATTTTCAATCAGATCAAACATTGGATCAGAATCGTCAAAATTTTGAATATTAAGCTCAACAAATACCTTTCAGACAGTGTGTACAGTTTTATAATCTTCTATTAATTTTTCCTTATACCGCATTTTCTTTATTAATTTTTTAGTCAATAGCAAACAATTTAAAATCGTATATTAAAACTTTGATAGTAAAAACACGAAAGCGGTGCATTTTATGAATTCGACAGCACGTAATGCCAGAAGCGGTGAAGAAAGCACTGTCAATAAAATAGTACCATATAGGTCAGTTTCTCTAAGATTTATGGTCAATTAAAAGTGATACAGCCATCCATCAGTATTGCGTGGAAGACGTTCTTAGTTTTCTTGGAAATAAAGTTTAGATCTATGGAGTATGTAATAACATTCGTTTTGCGTTACCTTTGTCAGTACGGATCTCTTCGAAATATGTGTAAACCGCTGTTATAAAAGCTCCTTTATACTATTCATTTTCGAAATTGTAAATTGAAAAACATTTTTGATTACATTCTAAATTCAATGTTGCAAGAAAATATTTTACTTAATCGGTTCAAGTTAAAAATTGATATTAGTGTTTTCCAGACAAGTTACAATTATTTTTATAAATTTAACCTTCACTTTTTAATTTACCTATGCATTCTGTATCCACAGTWCCATAGTAGTTTGGTAGGCACTGATCACAGTTCTGCCCAGCTACTCCAGGTTTGCAGTTGCACTGTCCTGTTTCTYTATGGCACACAGGATCCAGCGATCCATTCTCATCGCAGTGGCATTTAATGCARTCTTTCTTTAGAGTTTTCCAATAGCCAGCCTAGAAAATGTATTATARCTTAGCAAAAAATGACGCATAAAAAATAGTAAGCTCGTTCAAAAATTATTCTTTACTCTTTACACCGWTCGATTTTCAATGTTTTCAAACTCTGYCTACCTGTACAGAGGTGAAAACAACACAATATTATTTAAATTATATAATRAATTTGGGATATTATGTAGAACATGTCCCTRACTTAATAGTGRGGTCTCTGACTTAATAGTGGGGACTTAATAGTGGGAAAATGTACAGCGTGTCCCGTAAGCACACAAAAGTACACACKAAAGGTTACTGCGATATTCTTTGGATATMAAACACGATTTGACCTAACTTTTACTAAGAAAAAATKTACGGYTTCTCTGCAACTGACGGTYCAAGTTATTTTCAAAAACTTGAACCTTTTTCTCGAAACTTTTTTTTTTTTAAATAGCWRGAGAAACGTACGGTTGATATTAATGCAGCACCTGTGAATGGTTTTGGGGCTGAAAAATAKTTCTGTTTTCTTGCCAACTGACAATTTTAGACATTCATTCACTTTTTACATTATCAAAACRAAAATATTTTTTTTTGTAATATCGGAATTTTAATGAAACTCGCTGGAGATTTATGCTTACATTTTGCTGAAAAGCTGAAAACTCGCTTTTTCTTTTCGTGAGATTCCTGATGACCGCAATTGGGACGAAAAGAGCGACTGGGCCTCTAAGATTGACCATGTCGGTCAGTTAAAAAATATTAAATGCTTGACAATTAGTGTATTATAAAAGAACATTAAGACTTTCTACGACGTTAATGCAGTTAATGTCTGAAATTGTCAAATATCAAAAAAACAGAACTAATTTTTGCACTAAAGCTACAAGATTTTACAGAGCCGCAAAAAAGTTCAGAAAATATTAGTACATCAAATCAAAAAAATCAGTTGATTACAGCTAGCAAATACGTAATTAATTCGGTACTTTTTGTTCCAAGGCACTCAATTCCTAACTTCAATTATTTTCTACATTCAAATAAATTTAAGGTATCAAGAAGGCAAAGACCTAAAAGAACGTAATGTTTACCAATTATAAGGTAAGTTTTTCACGTGTTTTGCTCTCCCAAAATGAAGGATTTTTTCCTTCAAGAACTGATAAATGTTTTAACGCTGTATAAATTATAGTTTTTGTACAAYATGTTTTAATTGTGAATTGGTGTTTGTAGTTTGTGTAAATTTWAAATCTGATGATGGCGCTGTTGTCTCGCCGAAACATAATGAGAKAARCGATATTCAAATTTTTACTTCACACTTTGACTGAGACCCAGGAAGGATGAGAATATAATAACAATTACACGCAGTCAGCAAAATRAACCAAAATAGTAAGAAAGTTTAAGTCGTTTACATACCTTACAAACGTCGCACGTTCTTCCTTCATAATACGGCTTGCATATGCAATTTCCAGTTGTCGGGTCACATGACGAATACTTTGATCCATTGATGTCGCAATTACAAGCTGGAACAAATCAAGATTATGTAAATCTTTTCCTGGAAGCTATTCAATTTCATACAGCAACATCAATAACATTGCTACTCCTTTCAGTTTTGGAAAGTTTTTTGATCAAAATTAATAAAAGTTAAATCAAAATCCGATCTACTAAATACTCAGTAGGCATTTATTATTTAAATTCAAAAGCAAAACAGTTCAATTATGGAAAGATAGATCTCAATTAATAGGATCCCACGCGAAACAAGATACATCAAATTGAAATTCTTCTCTAATTATTTAATATATTTGCTAAGTCAATCCGTTCGAGCTTTTTGCATGCATTTTAATGTGTTCGTTACCATAAATTATCTTCAGTTCGTTATAACAGAATAAAATTAAACTAATATGAGTTGTGAAAAGGGTTAATACTGAAGCAAAGCTAGTTTAGTAATAATAATAATATTAATAACACATCTGTGGTTTGTCTTACTAGCAAGTTATGTATAACTGAAAGTATCTCTTTCATATGCATTTATTTATTATTTACAACGAGGGATTAAGTGTGATTATATACCTATCTAACATAATGTTTCAATTTGTTGCAATTAATTTTTTGGCTTTTACTATTTCTATGAATAATTTATAGAAAATATCACATCGTATCGTATTTTTTAAATAGACTGTTAGTAGATTGTTAAAATTTAAAAATTAATTAAGTTTTGTAGCCGTGCTTGATTGTTGCGACTTGTGAAATTTACATTCTGATAATRGTAGTAGGTACCATACACTTTTAAATTTGTTTTTGGAAACTTGGAGGATTGATTAAAAATGAATATATTAATTAAAAAAGTCCAAAAAGCGATAAATTTAGTGGACCAAAAAGACGCACTCACAGTGTGCAAAATGTTGTACATTTTATAAAATTTATTGATGTATCTCCAGTATGTTTTATGTGGAGGTGTGTATGGTAAAATATTGAAAATTGTTGCCTTTGTACTTTTTTATGCTGTTGAGTTGCAATACGAGTTACGAAATTAATAWAAAGTACWGGAATATGATTTTGTGGAGTAAATACTTCCCGAATCCAAGCTGRTTTATAGATCAAATTAAAAAATACAGCGATTTTCCATTAAGGCTGACAAGTTATTCAGTGTTTCTGTTCATTAAGGCGCTATGAATTAGAAGAAKKCATGCAGAAACAACTACAGTATGKTTAATTTGTTTGAAGTTTTMCTGCRAGAATAGCCAGCGAAAAGTGTGAAGTTTGGGTTTTGAGTTTAWTTTGAAATGGATATGTTTTCAAATCAAGAATATGACGATATATAAATATCGACATACTTATGATACCGCGACAAAAATGCAAGATTGCGGCAATATCAGCGGCAGTTACGTGGCCGCTGAATACTTGATATAAAACAATTCATAAATTTGCAACGTCGTTTGATATCCACAGAACATTTACCGAAAGATACTGCAGAACGTCCCCTACAGCAAGAACTTGATGAAGAGGAAGCGATGCTTAATATGTTCGGAAATAGTCCCTCCACTAGCCTACGAAGTAACTAACTGTTTAATTAATTTACAATCTGCAGACTATACTGTATGTTTCGACTTATGTCGATGGTTGATTGCACACTAGSAGCATTCTAGCCRAATTCTTTTTACGGATGAAGCCAATTTACCAGAAATGGAATTACGAATACCAAATTCACAGCAACAAACGCACTTCCAACACAGCCTTCCGTTCACTATTTGGCATAGTATTTTTAATATACGTCTTATTGRACTATTGGTGTCTCCTCCATCCGASGATTACCTAATGTTTTGTAAGACGAGTTGTCAGTGTTATTAGAATTGTTTTTCTTCGTTTTTCTTCAGAACATATGATTTCAGTASGTATGATGGGGCACCATCACATCTTAAAGTAAATGGAAKAATATATCGAAATAACAATTTTGGAATTGATTTGGAARAATAGGYAAACTTTTCTGRACWCCGAGGTCAGACTACTTTAACCTTTACCTCACKGTACTTTAAACCTCTTAGCTATTATCTAGTCTAGTGAAATAAACCACCAATCAGAAMTGAGCTAATACAAAATATTTTGACTGYGRCTGCATGCAGAYGACACRACTCAAATACTCTTCAGAGAGCCMCGTCTTTAATTACCGTAAGMAAATAAMTGTGCAATGAGGYAGCTGGAGGATATTTAGAACCAAAACTCCGARCTTGGGTTAGTAATWAAATATATATTACTATATTCARGATACTCGTTACATTACTCTATGTCCTATCTCAAAATTAATCTTCCAAATGACTCTTGYGAAATGTGTTTAATGCTATTTCGACTTAAAATTGTTCAAGGAATTCGCTGGTGAWCGCCGGCCATCGAGTACTGGGACRCATTGTATAAAGAAGTGTTCTTTATATAACTTCAAACTTAGAAACAAACTTCAACTTTGAAATTTCCAAACCAATTTCAAGTTTGAATCGAATRAGTCACCTTYGACATTTTAAAATAATTATTTAGCATGCAAAGGTTTTTTCTTCTAGGTATCTTAGTTTAGGAAATAATTCACCGTTTCCATACAAATTGCGAGTTTTCAAATTTGATATACCAAAGAAACCAATAGGTACACTGTAACTTTGACACTCTGTATAATGCCTTCTTAAAGCAAAATTTAATGCGTTCGCACAACAATAGCATTTGTCATTAAAAAATGCCATATGTTGGAATTTAGTGTTCCAACTGAACTAAGTAAACCAGGTGCATCTGCTGTAGGATCAAAAAGAAGGATTTAATCATTAAACTACATTTACACATACCGATCTTAAAGAAAACGAAGCTTTATTCGATCATAGTTCAATAGAACAGCCGTTGCAACATATCCGCTTCAAACAACTGGTCTACAAGACATATGTAGGATTAATTTCAAAAAAATTGATTAAACGCCTACAGCGATATTTATTAGTGCTTAAACATCACCTTATATGAATGAATCCAGATCAGGTACTGAACGACTTATATCTGGTATTAGTCAAAATTTACTTATACCCATTGGATGGTGCAATGCAGATATTATTAATCAGACATAGGAGCCCCTGAATTATATTAATAAAATTTATTTTGTCGGCTATTGATTGATAAAATTGTGTAGGAGCCGAGGTTGAAAAACCGCCAAGTACGTGGAACAATTTCAAATAAAAGCAATCGCCTATTATCTACATCAATCTCATCGAATGGCCTTCGGTGGTCTAATCAAGTAGATTATTATAGATTTTATCGATGTAAATATACGGCAATTAAAAAATACTGACATTGTTTGGGTGGGATAATTAAGGCAAGTTTGAAAATAATACAAAAAGTAAAATAATAATACCTATTTCCTGGTTGTTCCCAAAGTAGGATCACAACATTGTTAGGTTTGCTAAATACTGAAATAACAAAGAAACTGTTTCAATGTTCTGAAAATTCTCACATTAGTTCATTGAGACGTAAGTTCCATGTTGGGAGGAAAAGTAAAGTATGTAGGATTTCCTTTAATTAATTTCTTCCATTATTTTACGCGGGTATAGAATATATAACAAAAACTGATTAGAAACGAATTACATTAAAATACAAATTTACGTTAAAAAATTGTCGATTAACAAACATTTATTTCATAGCAATTCCTGTTTGCTAAATTTTTCCGTTGCCTCATTTAATGTTGCATTGTTTGTCCCACGTTTGCCTCATTAATAATGCCTTGATTTGCAAAAGCAATATTAATAACAATTATTTTCTTTACGCTCTAATACAATTTCATATTGAACCTAGAATTGTAGACCGAATTTAAAATTTTTAGGAAATGGATCATTATCAGTTTGTGAGGAAACTCAAGCGAACACATCTTTGAATAAACTTATTACAATAACCAGACCTACAAGATTTTAATTTAAATTGCTTTAATCGCTTTTGAAATTTACAATTTAGAATTCCTACAAAAAATAACAGTTATTTCAAAATATTTGTTCTATACGTGCAGACGAGCTTGCAGTTCTGTTAACCTCTTGTCTCGATTGTGTTAAAATGCAGCTACCGTTTGGATAAATTGAAATTTACAAGTCACTAGTTACTTAGAGTTACAGCTTTCAATTTCATTCAATACCACATGCAACAACTTGTATATAATTTCTAGTAAGAATAGATATACCGATTTAAACATGATGGCATTTGTAAGCCAAAATTTGTAATAAAATGTCACAGAACAAAATATTAATTTCCGTAAAGTAATTGTTGGCTTAGTTTATGTGCAAATACTATTTGAGGGTCCATCTGTTGTCCCAAGAAATTATCCAGTAGATACAACGTAACTGCTTGAAAGTAAGACGTGCTCTAAGCACCGATTTAACTCTTTGTACATATAATAAACTGAGAATGTTTTATATTTGCATTCGAAACATTGGCATCTCTTGTTTTTGTAAATCGTATACAGGCATATGAACGTTTTATCTTATTACATTGCTTTAATCTTTTTCGACGGTCTTTATGAGTTTGGTCCATTTTCAGCAGAACATTTCAGCTTTTAATGCTAAAGCATGAAAGAGCAATTCAGTTTTCCAAGAAACGTTCTAGATAAGCAGAACCAGATTTGCCTCAATATAATAAAGCTCTTTTGTAATGCATTGCGCGTAAAGATGCTTGACATGTCTTAATTTCTTCAGTAGCAGGTTGTTTGCAGTTATCGACCCATTTTCCACGTACCAGCCCATTTGATAAATAAAGGTATGGTACCAATAAATGTTTAAATTCCTCAAAATTAAGCAAATTATACCATTTTCAGTATGATTAAGCAGTTACTGCTACAATTATAAAGGAAACAGAAAATTAGCGTTACTCTTTTTTCTTAGAAGAATCGTGATTTGTTGGTTAGTGAGTCTTACTTTTAGATAACCGAACGAATGTTTTAAGAAAAACATAGTTTATTTTACAAAGATATCAGCATTAAGCAATATTTTGAGGGTGTGTATTGCTTATTTATTAAAAT